ACCCGCAGCAGATGATGAACCCGCAGCAGATGATGAACCCGAAGGACGTGCACCCGGAGCAGATGCACCCGGAGCAGATGCACCCGGAGCAGATGCACACGGAGCAGCAGCAGCAGCAGCAGCAGCAGCAGCAGCAGCGGCTGCAGCAACAGCAGCAGCAGCAGATGATGATGCACCAGCAGAAGCAGGGTACGCGGATGCGGGCGCAATTGTCGAGCATGGGGATTCATTTGACAAGTTTAGCGTGGATGGTAGCTTGGATTTCGTCGACGATGTGGATGACATGGATGATCAACCAAGACCGCCAGAAGAACTCATCCCAATAGAAGACTCTTTTTGTTCTCCGGCACTAATTGAGTCTGCTATTAAGATGATTTCGGCTGACGGTTTAGCCGCAGCAAACAAATTAAGACAATTCGACGCAGGTGCGACTACTGGCCAAAGCAGCGCAATCGCTCCAGCTTTACCTGCTGACTTCATAAAAGACCTGAAGGACGAGTTTTCATGCGTGCACCAGGAGGCGGAGGACCTAAAAATAGGTTTCGGAGGCATGGGACGCTGCGTACAACTCAACACGAATTGCATTAATTCGTACGCAGGGGACTCCACTAAGCTGACACTCCAGGTCATGGATGGCTGCTTCAATAAAAATGCTTCTGCGTGTAATGCGCACGGCCGGCGCTTGCGATGCGCACAGGGCGATATCCATCAGTTTCGGGTCTTGGGCGCATGCGTAATCTTGTTCGTATTGGTAGATGAAGAAGGGCTCATATTTGACAGTCCCCACAAAACGCATCTGCTCGTGCAGGTGAAAGAGTCCCGGGAATTTGCCATCGTCAACTGGCATAGCTTGGAGAACCACTCCACTCGGCGCTGCTTTCCAGACTGGACAACAACAGGCCACAAAATATTAGAGGAATTAAGAACAAAGTTGAAATCAAAAGAATGCATGTTTTATTATCTTATACATATTAGATTTCTGACTTATAGGTAAAATGAGAGCCGTCTATGCCATGAAGAGTAAAAGCAATGCGAAACAAATTAAAGCAAAACGAGATGCGTTGGGAGAAGCAGGATACGCCTCTTTCATATCTACATACTCTAACGAAATGGAATGCAAATTACCAGGTGAACACAAGAGTTTCTTCTTATTCTTATTCTTACCACCAGGTGAACACAAGAGCAAACTCAAGCAAGCGGAAGAGGTGAACGACCTCATGTTATTAGAACGTCGACCCCGGCCGAGGATGTGCCGACAAGAATATAAAGAGCCACAGGAGGAACTTAGAGGAGTTTGGGAGACAGGAGGTGGAAAAGCAGCACAAGCGAAGAGTTTGCCGGCACAACCAAAGCAGCAGCGCAAGCGAAGAGCTAGAGCTGCCAGTGCAAAGGAGCCCAAGGAGAAGAAGCCGAAGGAGGAGGACCACGAGAAGCTCGAGCGGCAAAAAGAATACCAACAGCGAACAAGGCAGATCCAAGAAATCCAACAACAACTCCAACAAACAAATCAAGCAGTACTTTCTTTTCAACAGCCTCGAGAACCACAGGCGAACAGTTTCAACAAACAGTCGTTCGAGGAAGGCGCTAAGCAAGCTAAAGAATCACTCGAATGGGGGATATCGCAAGCAACAGCAATGAACAAAGAAGCGGCCGCTCTAAACGCAGAAAGAGCGAAATTACAGCACCAGCATTACTTGGATACTACTCGCGGACCTCCTCCAGCTCAATCGCAAGGCCAGAGTCAATCGCAAGGCCAGAATCCGACCATGTTTGCACCTCCACAAACACCGCAGGCTCTTTTGCACGCACCAGCTCCAGCTGCACTGATGCTAGCAGCTGCAGCACATGCCCAGCATTACATGGATACTACTCGCGGACCTCCTCCAGCTCAATCGCAAGGCCAGAATCAATCGCAAGGCCAGAATCCGACCATGTTTGCACCTCCACAAACACCTCAGGCTCTTCAGGCTCTTTTTGCACTGGCAGCACCAGCACCAGCTCCAGCTGCACTGATGCTATCAGCTGCAGCACATGCAACCGCAGCAAATGAAACCGCAGCAAATGCAGCCGCAGCAACCGCAGCAAATGCAGCCGCAGCACCCGCAGCAAACAGCGTAGCAGCACAGATAGCAACCCTAGGAACTCTCCTGTTGAATGGGGACATCACTCAAGCTGACTTCGCGCAACTCAAGGCGTCACTATTGCCGCCCCCGTGAATCATCACGCTCGGGTGCTTTCTCCCATGATGACTGCCTGCAACAGGAACACATGGGAGTTTTTAGCGATAACCCGGATCTTATTATACTAGAGTATCGGAATCTACGCTAGTTGCATACTACCCCGAGAGTCGTCTATAGCGAGCAGGTCCTTGTATGCCGCTCGTGCGAGCGAACCTGCCATCGCGAGTCCAAAATCAGCACTCTCGCGAGCCACTACACCGCAGCACGTCTCTCTATGCGGAAAGCAGCCACAACTATGAGAAGCCGTGCAAATGCGCTTCTCATAAGGCAGGTCATTTACATGCCAGCTTTTCAAGTTGTTGTATATGACTATCTCCTTCCGATAAGGCGTCCCAAAAAGCATGCATTTGCAGAGGGCAGTTTTCTTAAGCCCAAAAATAGAATGAAACACATCCTTGCAAATGGGCTGCTTTGGGCCATAGCCCGCAGGTATTTCCATGATCACCTTGCAAAGCGGGTTCGCCTGCCATGCGGCGATCATCAGCAAACTTATCCACATCAATGTCTCGTTGCCAAACTCAATCTTTCGCGCTTGCTCCTCCGTAAGAGGAGCACCATTCACAAGGTCTATCGAGCGACTATGGTGTGCCTCTGACTGCTGCGAAAACGAGCAACAATTCCCAGCAAAAACACAAACACCGGGCGGACAACGCTTGAAGTAATGACGTTTGTACAACCAAAAGTCACGGAACGAACAGAGCACATGCGGGCGCATGTTCGGATCACCATCCACACCGATGCACCCGCATCTGCCACCACTAATAGCGTAGATCCGTTGCAAAAACCTGAAGTTGTGCGACCCAAACTCGTAGGCGAAATCCCCATATTTTTCAGGAGCATCGAACCCACAAGGTGGAAGAGGCGTACTCCTTTTTTTGGTCCCATTATTACTGCAGCAGATGGAGGCTTCTCGCACGCGCAGCTGCTTCATTATACGCACAAGACGTTCCGTAGCTTCGGCCATGTCTCGATGGTAGCTTTCTCCGATCCAAACGACCTTCGACTTCTTTGCGGGCGAAGACATGACGCACGAAAAAAAAAAACGGCAACCCGCGCCCCAACCCTACCTCCACACTCTCGGAAAACACAAACGAGCACGCCAGAGGCAGCGAAATCGCACGTTTGCAGCGACACGAAGACGCCGCGCGCGGGGCGCTGCGAGCAGCGCTGAATGCCCCGGCACGGGGCGCCCTTCCGCAGCCCGCGGGGCCCCGAACGCCCCGGGCGGGCCGAGCTAGCACAGCGGGTGGGTCACGAAGCCCACCGGAGGTCCTCGGGCAGCGATTCCACGCTAAACGCCCACCATCGTCTAAGCCGCCCTAGACGATAGACTAACGCGTCCTTAGCGAATAAAGATTGCTGTACCCACAAAGCTGGTTAGGAGGTGCCATGGTTGACTTCTCACAATAAGTTCATGCAATAGGGAGGGAGCTTGAGCACTTATTCCACAAAAACGACGCTTGCGTTTGAAACGATAGCTGCTCATCCAGAAAGATTAGCGCGAGACCTCATGAGCAATCTACTATCTGATGTCGACCTGCGAGATGCGAGTGTTGCTCAACGCACCCTTTCTCATCCATCTCTTATTCCCGATTCACACATTACGTCATAAATGCGATGTCTGGGTTGGCGTTATGGCTACTGATCTTGCTCGACTGAAAAGAAGTTCTGATTGATTGATACTCGTGCTAAGTTTGGTCAAATTATATGGGTCTGACATGGAAGCCAGAGTCAACCAGCTATATTGGTAGTGCATGCCGCCTTTGGTACTCCAGCGGGAGGCTCCCTACACAAGGTGTGTGCTAATGACTGACCACTGCTTCTCGTTTAAGCCCCAGAGTTGTCTCCGCAGACGAATTGTAGCAAGGAAGCGAAGCCGGGAGTTCAAGGGCGTGCTGCACTATACATCCGGAAAACTATCGCGGAATTTGCTTCCGTAGGTCAAGTTCCAGCGCTATAATTCGTCGGATACTCACATGTTGGCAATGTGATTGTAACAAGTATCGTTGTGTCTCCTTGATCCGACGCCATTTTCGGGGCGCTCTTACCCAGAATGAACACACCTATAGATCCGAGCTGGCTTATATGATGAGTTTCTTTTTCATCTTTTTGCTTCCACCTCGGGATTGGCACGTGTTGTGGACGGGGGGCTTTTGTGTGGTGTTTCAGAACTTGAGATTGAGATCTTCAGGTCCGCATCTCCCACGAGGGCGTCGTAGTGCCTCGTAATAGCCTTGGTGCTGTTTTCCAATTCTTCAGAAGCAAGTCCCAGCCCCAGCACGGTGCATTCCACGCAGAGCTGCGATAATCCCCCCATCCCCCGCCGTTCTCAACAAAGCAGCGGGAACTGCACCAATCGGCATAGTCGAATGTGTGTAATTTAACCATCCGACGCACGTGCGTGGGTCAGTTGCATGAACTCTCCAGATAATAGAATAATCAACAATCAATGAAAGTTCGGTGTGGAAAGCTGGAAATGCAAGCTCGTCGCAAAGTCGCTCGCTTTAATAACAACCTAGCTTGTACGGTCCGGTAGGCTCAGATTAAATCCTGGTATAGTTGTGCCCTTGCGGTCTGGTCTCTTGGCGCCCTCCGCCGCCACCTCCCTAAGCCCTCGGCACTGATGTTTTTTTAATATTTTTCTTTCTTGGAGTGCAGTGGAGCACGCTGCTGTGTATCTGTGGGAAAGAAATATGGGCGGCTTGATTAATGCTTCAAATCGCAGCCAGATTATAGTCCTCTGTGAATCATCAAATTGGATTGGACCTTGGCAAAATGCGTAAGCTAGAAGCCGGAGTTGTATCCTATTTTGTGGCCTTCCACGCGTTGTACTTCAGCCAGTAATCACCACCCTCTACCTTGCGGAGTAACTTCTTAACGAAAGACACACCATCGGCAACACCATCGCGCTTTGACAAGAGCGTCGCGACCTCTGCTGCGCGAGCTTGAACTTTTTCATCCGATAAGCACGATATAATGTAGTCACCGAGCATGGATGGCTTGATTTTCTTTAAGTGCGGTGCCTCGACACCAACTCCAAGATCCGACACAGACTTCGCTGAATCAAACTGATCATACAGAATGGGAGTCACAATAGTCGGTTTCCCAGAGCGGAGTGATGCGACGGTAGTTCCGATGCCTCCATGATGGACTATCACAGAACACCGTTTAAATAGGTGCTCGTGCGGGGCTGTCTCCATAAAAAGGACGTTTTGAATACAAAAAGAACGGAGGGGCGCCTCGTCCTCTTCGCCGTCGATGGCGCTCAGTCCCAACTCCGCCCAACCGCCCAACACGATCCCTCTTTGTTGTGATATCTTTATGGCTCGGAGAGCCAAGAGGGTCATCTCCTTTGCCGATCCGCACTTGACGGAGCCCCATCCTACATACACTGGTGGCGAACCACTCTCCAGGAAATTGTTCATGGCCACCAAGGAATCGCCTCCAAAATCCTTCCCTTGTGAGACGTCGGCAGGAATGATAAGATTGCCGATGTATGTAAACCATGACGGGTCTGTTTCATGACGACCCACAACGGAATCATCCATGCCAACAGCAACTGGTAGGAATTCCTTGAACTGCCCTGACATACCAGGGTAGACCCCGTATAGATCAAGGAATTCTTTAGCGCCCGGGAACAAGGTTATGTATTTCTTACCGAGATGATTCTCAATAAACTCTTCGCCAAGAGCAAGACGAATATCGTTCATGTACTTCCAGAAAATACCATACCAGAGAGGGCGATTCAGTGCACATGGTAAAGACGGTAGACCAAAGGGTGCGATGGATGGATCATAGCATAACGCTCGGCTCAAAATGAGAGGAAAGCACGGTACCGAAGTAACATGAGGAACCCAAACAGGATCGAGAAAGTGTTGTGTGCCCATGAGACACATGTCTGGCTTCGAGTCATTCAGAAACTTGATCATCGATTCAGCTGACTGTTTCAGTGCTTTTTTGTTCAAGGCTCCAAGCGCATCCAAAAATCCGACCATGTTCTTGTTTTGATTTGCACGGTTTATTGCGTCGCCGACAAATGTGGATTTGAAAGGTATGCCGTTCGATTCAAAGCTTAACCCCAGATCTACGACGAGAGATTCATGGTCAGGATTTGTGAACACGGTGACTCTCATGCCTGCTCGCATGAGACCAAGAGCCAGCGCGCAATAAGGCTGGCAATCACCTCGGGAGCCGCTGGCACAAATGACCACTGAACAGGCCGCCATAACGCGCAATTGATTGAGCCCCGGGAGCTCCAGCGACCCTGGAGGTAGATGTGTCTTCCGTATCTACACCGAAAACCACGTTTCTTAGCCCAGACCACACGGCCCACGACGGTGATGTTTGGTGTGTGGTTTGAGGCTGTTGAAAACGAGTGGTGTGTGGTTTGGGGGCATCGAAAATCGACGATCGATGTGTGGTTTGGGGGCCACGAGTCGGCAGCAGCACGTTCGGCGCGCGTCACGGTTCTCAGCCACAATGGTGTGTGGTTTGGGCTGCCAGCATTAGAGTGGTTTGTGGTGTGAGCACCACCAATCACATCACCGTCGTGGGCCGTGACCACATCATATAGAGGCCGAGCTCGAACGCGTCGAGCAGCTCGTGCCGCCAGTTGATGGAGAACAACGAACAGTATTAGAGCGCGGAACTCCGCGACTACGCGCTCGACGCCCAACGCGCCGAGTTCCAGCTACAAGCTCCACTGGCCCAGGCTGGCAGGCCGCGTCCCGCGCGGACTGAGCCACTCCGCCTGCGGCCTCGCAATGCCTCACACCGCGGCGAGACGCCGCCTCCGACACGCAGCGGCCTTCGGCCGCCTGCCCGACCCAGCCTCCCCTTCGCCTGGGGCTTCGGCCCTCCATCAGAGGAAGGGGAACTCCAACACAAATCCCCCAACGGCCCGTGCCAGCCGGCACGGTGCTCGTCGAGCGCCCGGACGCGCCAGGCACGGCCTCACGGGTCCTGGCGATCGAGGCCGCGTCGGCCATGGGCGCCGGCGACGTCCTGGCACCGTGGTCCCTAACGAGGACCACACGCGTCCCCTGGCCCGTTCAACCGAGCAACCCGCCGCGCCATTCCGCTGACGCGCGGGTGGCCCAGGGGCCTCCATGCCAATTCCGCTGACGCCCCTTCCCACTAGCACGTGATTCGAGGCGTCTCATCATTCGTAAACAACCCTCTCACAGCCTTCTCGGGGAGCGCGCGCGCGTCCCGACCTAGGCTGAGGTCTTCTGTCCATGGCCATGCGCCCCTCCTTCTTCTCCAGTGGCCGCGCTACGTGCCCCTCCGCCATGCGGCCCCTGCGAGGGAGCAGAGATACCCCCGGCGGTATCCCCCGTATCCTACAACACTCACACCCCGAGTCTGTATCTGTACAATCTTCGATTAGCCAGGAAAGTAGCGCCCAGAGGAGAGAGAGAGAATGAGCTGTTATTTATTATTGCAGCTCAGTCGATACTCGCTCCTTATGCTCTTATCTGGCCGGCGCTGCTGAAGCAGCCCGCCGGCGAAATTCTTTCTGAGGAAGGGGGCACAGTGTAAGTCCGAGCGGCGGCGACCATGGTTGTGTCCAACCCGGTCCCGCTGGAGCTCCAGGGGCGCCCGTTCGTTGAACAGGCGCGGGCCCTACCAGCGCGGGTCGCGCTGGAGGCGTTTTTCGCGGCAGCTGCGGGCTTCACGGAGGAATCGCCCGACGGCAGCGCCTTTTTAGGGGTGCTGGAAAGGGTAGCATTGGAGATTTTTCGTGGGGACACTCTCTTGCAAGTGCGCGGGTTCTCGCCAGGGCAGCAGATGGATTACATCGGTCGGGCGGTGCACCAGTTGGTGCGTGAGAATTATCTGCAGCGGGTGGATTTTCCTGAGTGGGAAGCAGCTGTGGCGGCGCTGTCGCAGGCTGTTCAGGGCCGGGCTGTGGATGTGAACTTCGAGTTATCGATTTGTGACGAGGCACGGGCACCTGACTTAGTCGAGGGTCTGTTTCAGGTGAATGACAGGGCGCTCAGTGCTCCTGTCACTGTGGCACAGGTCCAGAGCATGTTGGATGCGCGAGATGCGACCAACAAGCGAGACTTCGAGACGATGCTGGGCGATAATAATGTAACGTTAACGGCCAGTATTACAGAGATAGTTAAGCAGCAAATGACAGAGGTGGTTAAGCAGCAAATGACAGAGCTAGCAGCAGCCCGCGAGCGGCCACCGCAGGCCGCAGCCCAGGCGCTGGCGCCTCCGGCAACGGCCCTAGCATTGGCTGGAGGAGCACAGCCTCCTCGGCAGGAAGGGCAACCGGGTGCGGTAGTACTGGCGCCAGCGGCAGCCCCAGTCCCGCCGCAGCAGGTACCGCCACTGGTGGGGGATGCGGCGCGCCCTCAGCGGCCGCCCCCGCCGCTGGAGCGGCCAGAAGGCGGAGCGCCTCTATCAGCGGAAGCACCAACGTTTGTTCCCGGAGGAACTCAGCGCGGTCAGCAAGTAGCGGCCCCGGCTCCGGGCCGGGCCCCAGCGTCGCCAGCGCGGCTTCAACCGCAGGTTTTCGATCCGCCGGCGTCGCCTGGGTTGGAGATGGCAAAGACAGTGTATGCGGATATCAACGGTAAGTGGCGCGAGGTCAATGTCTTGTGCCACCAACGGGGGATGATCTGTGTGGCATGGATTGGCGGGGAGTCGCAGCAACGGCAGAGTATGGAGTTGCCGCGGAGCAAGGTACGGACGCTTGAGGAGCACAATGATCTTAAAGGGCGGTTCCTTATTCAGCAGTTTCCCATGCTTATGCGTTTCTTCGGTGCTGCCGGAGAAGTGGAGCAGCATCAGCACATCAAGATGCTGGCAAGCGGCGTTAAGTCCGTTGCCAGCGACGTCTATAGTATGGACGTCAAAGCGGCTGCAGTGGAGCGAGCCATTTCGAGCATCGGGATGAACGAGGAAATGATAAGCGCAATGTTTGCGAGCGGCCCTCAGGCGCCTCAGCGGGCAGTGTTTGGTCACGTCACCGCCAAGCTGGCTGAGGCCATTAGAACGTCTCAGCAGAGCGGCGAAGGTTTGATCAAGATCACAGATGCGTCGACTAAGGTAGCAAACCTGGGCACTCAGGTTTGGGACTCGGCCACAACGGGCAGCGGTGCTGCGTACTCTAAGCACGTGCTCGAGAGCACCAGTGAGCCGGGCGCTCGGACGGCGCGCGTGCTTGTGGATATGGGTGCTGGAGTGCAAGGCGCGGAGGATTTGTTGCGAGTGGGGAGGTCTCGGGGTGATTTTCCGGGCAAAGTCCCGCAAATGGGGCATGGTCCCCTGTTCCCATCCATGCGCACAGATGCTCAGCAACACGCGGAGACAGCATCTATGCAGGTCTCGTCGAGCGTGGTTGTCAGCCAGATAATGCCAGGCGCTTACTCAGCGTCGAAATCTGAACATGAAGTGTGGGAGCTCAGTCATCCAACAGGAGAAGCAGAAATTCCGAGTCGGTCGTGCACGGCACCGTGGCGTTAAAAAAGCGCTAGGGAGGTGAGCTTCAGCGGTTCGCCGTGATGGGCCACATGCCCCCAGTCTGTTCCGCTCAAGCAACTTGCAGCAAAATTCATGGCCCCGGGCTTCTCCTTGTCGCGAGTCTGTGTCGCCGGCAACTCCTCCCGGCGCGGGGCCTTTACTGGTGTGCTGGGCGTCTTATCCATCACCATCCTGATCTGTATGCGCATCTGCGCATCCCGGATCTTAAGATTTCCGCCTAAAGAAAGCGTTGATCTCATCGACCGACAGGCCTTCCCGTAGGCCCATGACTGCTCGCTTATCCTTAGCTGCTACGTCTATTCCGTCCAGGTGACCGATGCAAAAAGTCTGATCCTGCTTGGCCCACTGACAAACCATGCTAGCTAGATGCCATTCGGCGAACAATCGAGCCCAATAAAGAGTCGTTTTGACGACTGATTTAGGACAAATCATATAGATTATTGCAATGATAATTCATTATACATGATAGCCGTGGTCCAGCGGCCCGCGGCAGCGGTCCGCGGCGGCGCTCGGGACCGTCGTGGACTAGCAGGGGCCCCGGCCGAGGCCCGGACGCGGCCGCCACTTCTCGGCTGAGCGCCTTCTGCGGTGTACTAGGAGACTGTTGTGGCAGCCTCTGTTGACGAAGTTGACGAAGTTGACGATGACGATGAGTCGCTTGTCGAGGCAGACGACGTCGACGACGACATCGACGAGGAGTCTGCCGACGACGAAACTGAGGAAAACGACGACCTCATACCTGAGCTGATGTTTTTGGCCTTGCTCCGCGCCTTCTTCCGTGCTGCCGCCGCTTGGGGAGGTTCTATAGCAATGAGCTGGAAGTGAGACACAAGAGTTTTGAATGTGACCCGAATCGTAGAACTGAAAGCAACATTTGCGTGATTGCCAGGCAGTCCAGCTGAGAAGAGGACAAAAAAATAGCCAGCAATGTCAGATAATCCACCTCTCGCAAGATTTGTGATCATTTTTTTCCGGAAAGCTACCAAAGCAGCATTTGTAGAGCCACCAGCAGCAAGATTATCCACAACCTTTCCAGCCTCGCGCTGGAAAATCATCGCCATGGCAAAACACATCGTTGGATAGATGAGAAACAGAATCAAGTAACCATTAAAGAGACGAGTCCACGGGCCCATCCAGAGTACGTAAGCAAGCCACATCTGGCTTTCTACGACAAGTAGAAATACCACAGCCACAGAGATTTCCTTCTTGTACACCTGGAACACAGGCGCTGCTTTACTCATTTTCTTGGCTGCAGCTGATTCATTATTCCAATTGAGAGCCAAAATCAGGGTGGTGTAGGTCGCCCATGTACTATATTCGAATTGCCAAAAAGTAATTGACAAAGTCAAGGGAGTGAACGAGTTATACTTTACCATCCCGCCGTAAAAAGAACAAGTGTACGTGCTTAAGATGCGTCCTGCATTGGCGATGCCTTCCATGGGACAGACAACTTGCTGCACTTTCCAATCATCCTTCATCTTCGTGGTCTTACTGCCAAGAGTGGCAAACAGCATGGGCCCATACTGAATTGCAAGCAAGAAATTCCAAAACATGAAACAATTCGATAAAAACATTAAAACAGGAGTCAACCACCGAGTAAAAAACGACCGTCTCTTTGCTGCAAATTCGGCACCACCCCGCCACCTTCCTCTTGCAGTAATGAGTGAAAATGGTCGGTTCCTGTGCATTTGGCGGGCAATAACAATATCTTCATAATAGCTTGTCTGAACAAACATCATTTTACCCCATTTTCTCGTGCGGTGCCATGTTGTTTTGCTCGTCAGATACGCAGAAGGTGAACCGACTAGCACGTCTACGGGGTTATCAGTGGATTGGAATGTAGCCAGCAATCTCGCTCTGACTAAGTTCATGGTGAATGACCATAGAGTACACTTACCACCACCAACTAACCCGGGCCAGCTGTAATGTGCAAGAATCTTGTATCGCAAGTCTCCCAGCTTGCGTGGTGGGCAGAAATATGCGAAATCGAGAGCGTTATAATCTCTGTTGGTGACTATGTCATCGCTCGTGACTTCAGCAAACAATCCAACGTGCTTTCCCAGAAGCCAAAGATCTGTGAAATACATGCCATCCCGGACGTTCGTGTAACCCGCATTCTGAGATATCTTATTCTTGTAAGGATAGTGCGCGCTGGCGCCAAAAAACATAAAGTTGGGCTTGGTGGTAGGAGGATACTTAAAAGAATGGGGCGCAGCTTCAGACCTTGGAAATTTCATAATGGGAACGTTAGTTCCGGACCGAACTTTACCTTGAACCTGAATCAGAGAGACGAATAAGGGGAGGCATCTGCGCGTAATCGCGACAATACAAATTCGACGCATCGTCGAGGAGGCTAGGTAAACCAATTGGTGTGCGTTAAGTGCAGGTGATATTAGGGAATGATATAAGATATAGAATGATATAGTTGGATTACGAGCTGGGTGTTGCCTTCAGCATGGGCTCCACCCAGCTCGGGCACTAGCCTAGTCTAGGACCCCCAGGAAAAGAATAGGGCCGGCTGGATAGGAGAAGATTTTCCTGGGGTGCGCTCAGGCGCACAATAATAGAAGAGGATGTCAGCGACAGACTACTGTTCCTATCTCTCAACTTAATTCTATGAAGAAGCAAAAGGCTTATGCTTGGTCTTTGCAAAGAATATAGACTGACCTTGCTGTCTGTCTCTCTCTCTCTATCTCTATATCTCCATGACTATACTGTAGTACAGTACGCTACACTACCACTACCCTACTACCATCATGCTAGTACTGTACCTACCCTAGTTAGGCTCTCTTTCCCGTTCCCCCTCCTTTATAATCAGTTACTATCATATGACTGCGCTACCGTAAGGTAGCACACTGAGCTTCCCCTCTCACCCACTGTGCCTATCCTGCTACTACGGACTGTACCTTAACGTCAAGTTGATGTACGGGACTTAGTTTCTTTACAGGTTATGGCGCGGGTGCGTCGTTAGACGTACCCTTCCCACTTGTGCGAGAGACTGCTCTTGTTTGTGTGTGTGCCAAGAGGTGCTTGTCACACCTGTCCTTAATTGTGAGCCTGGTACACATTCACACATAAAAATACCCGTCAGCTATGGCTGACACCAAAGAACAACTCGATAACATATATGGCGACGATAAAGTCCGAACAAAGTCGTTTGTCGACTCCCAACTTAACACTTTCCTTGATGGCCACAGATTTCAAGTGAACCATACGGCAGAATTCAACTTGGGGCGTTTTAATAAGAACGTCAGTAACCCTATGTTTGCCAACTTCAGTCAGTATGCCACATATGAGGACTTGGTTCGATCTCCCTCTAACGACCCAAATCTGTACGCGCGTTTGCGTTGTCATACCATGTCAAAGCTTGAGGAGGCTTTTGATGACCTCATCAAGGCCTGTTATAGACAAGGGCGTAACGACTCGCCTTTCGACCCACCTCCAGCTACTCCTCCCGCGAACTTCGAACCAAGACCTAGGCCCATCTGGACCAAGGAGTTCATGCTTTCGGCGTTGCGTCAGTGGCGTTACATGCCTAACAAGGTTAAAACCGGTAGTGGCCCCCAGGGCAACAAAGTGGTTAACACTGACAACAGATGCATTAGGCCAGATGGCTCATTCATCGACCCCGCTAACGCGGGCGAACGTTTGCTGTTTGCCCGGGCCATGGCCGTGTGGTTGAATGCTAGTTCTGCGGAGAGAGGCTTTGCGCTGGAGAAGATTGACGACAATCGACCCAGAAATGTATGGTTCCTCACCACCGAGTCAAACAGCCTTGTTGTCAGAGAGACACAGGACGGCGGTGTCCGGCCATACGGAGTGGTCGCCAAGCGCGGCAAATTCTGGTTTTTGATGATGAATCGCGCTGTTACGAACCATCGAGATGAGACGAGAAATCCTGTCTTCGACGATCTCAAGTGCAGCGAGTTTGCTGCTTTGTACTGCTCCATCCCTAATGGCTTTGTCAGGAAAGACAAAAAGATGGAACTCATTCATGGAGGTAATCGGTTGCCAAAGCCAGTCGATTTCGAGTGGGGGTGTCAAGGCCTTGCGGGTCTGCTCCAGAGGTTTTGTGACATTGATGGATCCAATCAGTCGGCGGCCAAGGATCTGCCCTGCTGGACGGAAATTAAACACCTGGTCACAAACTATGGTATTCCGAACCCCTTTTGGGCCATCCACACCCTGGTGAAAGCGACAATGGATGTGGTACCTTCTTCCAACAATGAGGAGCACATATCTACTTTCAACAAGACCAATTACGAGTCTAAGTACTATGCGGACCATTACATTTCGTACCTTAGAGGCTATCAGACTTTCATGGAGAAGAATGGTGTCACTGTGATCGATGATAAGCTGCTCACTAAGTTTCAGGATGACTTCTTGCCACAGCATAAGGATCAAGGTAGGGATGGGTATGATTCACAGCTCTACTTGCTCGCAGACGCGCGGCGTTGTAGCCGTGATGGCCTCCCCACACCTCACATTCCTCCTGCTGTCGCTAGCGCATGGAATACTTTCTCCGATCTTCAGCTTTATCTAACTACGTTAGGTAACAAATTTCGGAGAGGGGGAGGACATACAGCATGCTACAGAAGTCCAATGCCAATGAAATATAGCGTACACAGTCTTAATGACTCATCATCTATGCAATTTGGCACAAAACCCGGCAGAGCGCTTATGGCTGGTGCATTCAACTCGGAATGGGTTGATGGAGTCAAAGTCACTGGTCATGCTCTTGCAATTCTCCAACAGCAACGTGAACAGCTTTATGAACCTCGGGATGATCAAAATGACCATGGTATTTTATCCGATATTTTGGATGATCTCGACGATTATGGTGATTTCGATTCCAAGGAAGATCTTCTGGCTGATTACTCTGCTTTTGCTCTCCATCAGCGTCAGCGTGGCGGAGGTAGACCTCCTCAAAGAGAGAAAGGTTACTACAACCGTTATGATGACCGCATCGAAGAAGTCAGAAAGCGAATAAGAGATAAACTCTCGAGAGCCAAGGATAATCTTGACGATGCTCATAAATGGAACAGAAGATCGCCAGGCAACGCGCGTGTTGTCCCATATTATAATGAAAAGGCAAGTAGGACCCCTGATCTTAGCTCTGGAAAACGAGCCATGGTAAAACCCTGGCAGGAAGGTAAAAGGTTACAGGACGCAAAGTCTCGTCAAGACTGGAATGCTGTTGCGGAGGTTGACAAAGAACTTGCTCAAGCTTTATCTACTTATCAGCAACCACCTGAACTAGCTAGGGAAGATCCAGACAAACCTACTCGCCAAGACAAGCAAGATAATCTCATCTGTGCACTTTTAGACGTTTTGGATGTGGCTAAACACGCTAAGATGAGTCCTGAAGCTACTGCGGCAGCACTGGCCGTCATGAATGATAGATTCTACAACACACCTGCTGGCGAAGACGAAGAAGACGAGGAAGAAGAGTTGAAAGGCGACTCTCATGTCAACTTTGTCGACACAGCAACCGTTCAGTGCTACCTCACTCAGGGACCCAGGACCAATGTTCTGAGACCATGTTATTGTAGAGAAGTTAAGATTGACACTGGCTCAACTTTTGATCTAGGTTCCTGTCGAACATGGCAGTACATTGTCGATCTCAAGTCTCCGATCCGAATCAATATGGCTAAAGATCACATGCTGGTGCATAAGGTTGGTCTGGCACTACTGATCCTCAAGATGCGCGTACTCTTGTGTGCTATGGGCTAGGGATGGTTCAGAAGCTACAGGAACCTCCTGTGGTGCCAGATCTAGACTTGGCACTTCCAGGTCGGCCAAACTTAGCTGTCCGTGTTTTGACGTTGGAAAATCTTGTTGCGGACTTGCAGGAACGCCTAGCTCGATTGGAGACATAGCTCATTTATCATAGCTCCCCACGATCATTACAAGTACATTGATCACAGGGCAACTATGATGGGGGAGTGCAAAGAATATAGACTGACCTTGCTGTCTGTCTCTCTCTCTCTATCTCTATATCTCCATGACTATACTGTAGTACAGTACGCTACACTACCACTACCCTACTACCATCATGCTAGTACTGTACCTACCCTAGTTAGGCTCTCTTTCCCGTTCCCCCTCCTTTATAATCAGTTACTATCATATGACTGCGCTACCGTAAGGTAGCACACTGAGCTTCCCCTCTCACCCACTGTGCCTATCCTGCTACTACGGACTGTACCTTAACGTCAAGTTGATGTACGGGACTTAGTTTCTTTACAGTCTTGCTTCTACAATAAAGAAATTGAAAATGTTACTAACAATAAAAGATACCAAGTGGATACGAAGCTAATTAAATACCCTAAAATAAGGGGGGTAGCCCTATAAATTACTTGTAGGATTAGATAGATATAGATAGACATTATTATTATTACCCCACCCAGCCACCGTCAAGCCGTGCACGGACAACGTCGCGCCGGACTCCCAGACGAGCAGCGGGCCCGCCATGGTCGGGCCGGGGGGCAGCGACGACGGCGCGAGCTGCGGCACGGGCTGGCTCTTGGGCTGCTTCTAATGCGCTCTAGATTAGGCCTGTGCCGAGGCCATCGGCAGCGCCTGGGGGGGGGGGGGGGGGGGGCGGCCCCAGGGGCTGCGTTAGCACCCCGCGTGCGCGCCATAGCTCTTCATCATCCGATCGAATGCCGCTCAGGAGGAATCCCGGTCCCCGCCTCATTTGTTCTCCTCATTCCGGAAGCGACCGACTCGAGATGGAGCAACTGGTTGTGAAAGAACTGCCTGCTACCCACGATCCTCCAGGGCTGGACGGCCTAGCAACGACGCACAATGCGACGAAGAAGACTGAAGGATCGTTCTTCAAACCAGTGAACATCTCTCTGCATCCCTCGTCGAGAGTTTTCATCGTCGGCAGCGATGGCGTCGCTGCAATGGCAGATTGTTTAAACTCTGTCCTCATGGCGTAGATACTGGTCGGAGATTTACCCGAGTGCAGAAGCCCGAGTGCCATTAGCGACGAACTCAGCTCTTTCACAGATAGCACGAATATCCTGGTCAGTCTTGGTGAGCCAGGCGCCCGCTTGTTGACTCACATACTCTCGACGCAGCTAATACCGAGCTTGGCCTTTTATGCGTGCGTTTGCGAAG